TTAGGGTTTAGGGTTAGGTGTTTGGGGTTTAGGGGTTCAGAGTTTGGAGTTTAGGGTGACATTATACTATAGAGTGAACCAGGGCTAGAAGCGAATACTCTTACTCAGTCTTCGAATTCGACTGCTATAGTCTAAGGACTTTAGGAGGACACCTAATAGGGACCCTTCATCCAATTACCTTAAATAACACTTGGATATAGTCGTTTCTTCGTTTAGTTTGTGCTATGGGTTGCCGACTTTGTGGCAGCATAGCCTGAGAGTTGCAAACATGTACAGCCAACCTGGTGTGGGCGCATCAACGGTATCCTATACGGTTGAGGGCTTAGGGTCTAGCTTTGGTGCTTAAGGACATTGGCATGAGATAGGAGTACACCTGTATCATCCTGTAACTAACAGCTATCACACCATAACAACAATCAAAGCCAACAATCTGCACTAAACTCGTATAAACTTCAAGCCTAATCCGCGCAATCGAAACCAGCAACGTGCAGCCGTCCTGCCCAAGGCAGCTGTGTAGCAGGTTTGAAGCCCACGTCCGTGAGTGGTCGGCCATTTCCTTGTTGCTTCCCCAGTATCCTCTTGATAATCAGCCCTTACGTTTAAATCAAGTTTCCATAAGGACCCCAAACTGAAAATTATGAATGGCTATTCCCGGGAGAGCTAAAACCTAAACCCCACACCGGGAACGAAACCCTAAACCCTAAACCCTAAAACCCTAAACCCTAAACCCTAAAACCCTAAAACCGTAAATCCTAAACCCTAAAGCTTAATCCCCAAAACAAGGAACGAGTTTCTTGAAGCCTACCCTGGGTTCGATTCCGGCGGTGCTGCAGTGCCACCCAGGCAGCCCAAGCATCAACAAGAGCCCTAGGCGTGGAACCCTTGCATGCTGCTTTAGGGCTTTAGGGTTTGGGGTTGAGGGTTGAGGGTTTAGGGTTTAAGGTTTAGGGTTTGGGGTTGAGGGTTTAGTGTTGAGGCTTTAGGATTTCGGGATCAAAACTCTCTTTAGCTTTTGTCCCCTACTTGCCTACATATACCCCGAGCTCTAGACTCTAGACATTGCAGGCCTCGACCGCCTTCAATGTGATAAACCCTGACCCTGAACACCAAACCCTGAACCCTAAGCTTTCTATAAACCCTAAACCCCAGTCCCAGGAGCATGGCCCTGTATCTGGTCTCCAGACGCTGTGCCACCGGGAGCTGGCGGCTGCGAGGAAGAAGTGCAAAGCGCCAGAGGGACCAGACCCACATCTTCGACAATTGCTGACCGGAGATGCAGGCCTTGCTTCTGTTCGAAATCGGTTCACCAATCGGACAGTATCAGGTGGGGGGGGGGGGGGGGGGNNGTTCAGAATTTAGGGCTTCAGGGTTTCGGCGTTCAAGGGTCCCAAAGGCTCCTAAACCCTAAACCCTAAACCCTACTTTCTGGACGACTAAGGTTCCGTTAACAAGCAATGCCGCCGGAGCCGGATGAAGCGATCTGCCTGCTGCTCCTCATACCCTGCCATCCAGTCATTTCGGGCTTGAAGGACAGCCTCCAGGTCGACTATACCTGGTTCATATCACAAATGAACCATGTCTAATCCTTATTGGGTTTATTATAACAAACTTTTTAAAATTTAACACATATAAAAATTGTATCCAACAAGGACCCAGATGCGCTGTTGAAGTTGTTGCTCTTCTATCTGCTGCTCCACCTGAGCTTCCTGCACATCCAGCCATGCAGTCTGCACCTCGCGCTCCTCCTCGCGCAGCTTCTGATGCCAGCAGTGCTGCTTTCGCCATAGTAGAAGAAATGACCAGCATTGGAAAACCTGCCAAAGATCCACATGATCGCGGGATCAAGCAGCTCGAGTGCTGGCATGAAGCGGATATCGCTTAACATGACCAGCTTTGAGCTGCAGCTTCATGCATTGAGGCCATGATTCCCGGAGGTTAGGGGCTTGGTGGTGACAGGAGTGGGAGACAGAAACCGAAAGCCGCCCCGTAGAGCATTTAAGTCAACACTCAACCAAAACTATCCACATGTGCATGAGCCTGAAGAATGTGTACTTCTATTCTTTGGGGTTGCAGATTATGATTTACGGGCAAGCATTAAGGCTCGAATATTCTGCGATTGTAGTCAATAGCAATTTCAGGAACCCTCAGGAAAAACATGCCTAAGTAGGTTTTGATGCCTATCCTGAAACCCTACACCCTAAACCCTAAACCCTACACCCTAAACCCTGAACCCTACACCCTAAACCCTAAGCCCAAACCCTCTACCCTCATCCAGGCCTCCCGCAGCCCGAGCAGCTTGGTGTGGAGGCCCCTCGGACTCAGGCGCTCTGGTTGCAGTATATGATATGATATGACATCTCTATATATATATATATATAAGTACACACATAAATAAATAAATAAATAAATAAACATATATATATATATATACACACACACATACCTGCATGTGTATACAAATAAATAAATAAATAAATAAATAAATAAATAAATAAATAGATATATATATATATATATGTATGTATATACTCTACGTTATATAAGACATGATGTCTGTTATAGGCGTATGTTATGTTTATTACATCATATGCCGTGCACCATTTTTATACTTCACATTGCAAAGGTTTTCGCAGGCTGTGGGAGTTTGGGGCTTTATGGGAGCCGTCGGTGTCGGTTCGGTATCGCCAGGCCAAAGGAAATCGAGTATCAGTGAATGGATGCCCCAGCCACATCAACGTCGGCTGCGACCCCATCCATGCCCCAGAGCATCCATAGTCCATGCATCAAACCCTAAACCCTAAACCCTAACCCCTAAACCGTATGTTCACGTCCACTACGATCCCATCCGTTCCCCAAAGCATGCGTGGCCCATCCATGTGCACCTCGGTGTCCGAGTGCATCCGTTCCCCACAGCATCCACGGCCCAACCATGAATACGCCCATGGTCTCAGTTGTAGCAAATCATGCAAAATCACCGTACGCCTTGTTTTTCTCGCCATTTCGAGCACTTTAGCGGCAAACACCCTCAAGCGTCGAACGTTGCTCAAGTCTTGCGCCAGCCAGCTCAATCGACCATGCATCGAAACTGCAGTCGTCTGCACCGAAGAAAATGTCAGGTGGTCATTTTACAAACACCAGCCACCTGACAAGAACCGGTGCGACAGCTTTCAAAGCTGCGCCTGCCAGTAATTTTGGGGCCTTAATGACAATAAGGAACCCCCAATATACTATTGGCAATTATTTAGGCCCCTGTATTCACCTTACTGGCTTCGCTGCGGAGTCCAGGTTTTGGGCCACGTAACGCCCGGTTCGCTTCTGACTGGGACTCAGTGGGTGAGGAGGGTTTAGGATTTAGGGTTTAAAGGAATAATTCAAGTCCTCAAGGATTTCAGACTTGGGCGGAGCTCGAAATCATTTTGGTTACGTTCGTGGGATAGTCGGGCTTGTGGGGCCTGTTTTTTTTGTTGGCTTTAGGCTGCAGAATGTAGCACCTTAAGGCTTTGGCTGGTCTAGGGTTGGCAGATTATTGATGGAATTTCTGACCGCAGTCCAGGTTTTAGGGCTCGCAGGCTTTCGAGGTTCTGGGTCTCGGGCAGATCATCCCATGGTTGCATTCCGGAGCTCTGAGTGTGTGACAACTCATTCGGGGCCCCCGTACTAGACCCACGATGGAGATCCATGCATAGAGTATACCGTATACCTAGACCCTAAAGCCTACTCTCTTGCGACAAGAGCCCAACCATAAAACCGGTTTTGGATCCAAAATAGAAAAAACGGAGCAGAAGGGTGCAATTGAGGAACCTAGTAGACCCTAAACCCTAAACCATAAACCCTAAAACCTAGTAGACCCTAAACCCTAAACCCTAAAACCTAGTAGACCCTAAACCCTAAACCCCAAAACCTAGTAGACCCTAAACCCCCATAGATCCCTCGTAGAAGCCTCTGAGGAGCCCAGGAGCTCTTTCAGGAAGCCTCTCCGGGTACTACTGGGGGAACCTACCCTAGGGTTTAGGGTTTAGGGGTTTAGGGGTTTAGGGTGTAGGGTTTAGGGTTACTGGGGAACCTACCCATAGGCCCCATAGTAGATCCTTTTTGGGATTCATATTTGGGGCCTATGGGTAGTTCTTAAACGCTAAACCGTACAGTGTAAGATCGACATTTCAGGACTTCTCAACCCTAAAACCCCTAGACCCCTAAGCCCTGATTGCACCCTAAATTACTAGCTCCCGAAACCCTAAACCCTAAACCCTAAAACCCTAAAACCCTAAAACCCTAAAACCCTAAAGCCTAAAGCCTAAAACCCCTAAACCCCTAAAACTTTCTGAACCCCCCAGGCCCACGGGTTCTCCGCAGATGCTGCGGGTCGCTTGGGCTTGGGTCTACTGAAGGCAGCTTTGCAGTTGACGTCGTGGTAGGGTTCAGGGTGCAGGGGTTTAGGGCTTTAGGGGTTCGGGTTTAGGCTTTAGGGTTTTGTGGTGTGGGATCTTAGGGTCGACGGTTCAGGGTTTGGGGTTAAGGGATTGCTGGATGTTCTGAGGTTGGGAGTTTAATGTAGGGGGCTTGATAATTGGAATAGGGTTTTGGGGGTTCCTTTTTGTAATGACAGTATAATATGCCCCAAAACCCCTCCTCCAATCATTGAGGCCCCTACATTACGGAGTTCAAGCTTTGCAAATTGCGGTCGAAACCTGCGCAGGGTTCAAACGGACTCGTGGCCAGGTTTGGAGGTCCTTGTCATTGGGACCCCACTATTTGGGGTTTAGGGTTTAGGTTCAGGAATACTTGCTAGTAGAGGTATAAGCCCTGTATTATGGGTTATAGTAGCTTTAGTTTTCCTACTCGAAACCTCATTCATAACTACCCATGAACCTCCAAGTAGGGTTTCGGGATGCTTCGGGTCTATACTGGGGTACCTATTTTTGTCTGAAGGTCCCACGCATGGGTTTCAGCCGATAAGGTCTAAGTTTAGGTTTCTTTGTGTTGGTACAGCCCTCGACAGGCACCCCACACTCAAAGGCTAATAAGAGAAACCGAACAAAACAAGGAATCAAATTGGTATCTAAGGACTTTAGGAGGGACCCCTAATACGGACCCTTAGTCCCATTACCTTAAATAACCATTGTATAGTCCTTATATACCCCTTATATAGCCAGGTAGTCTCCATATTAAAGCCCCAATAACCTACAAGGGTCCCTATGAAGGGTCCCTCCTAAAGCCCTTAGATGGTAAGGCCATAAGGCCCCACTTCTGTGGGGCTGCTGAGACCGTGGCATGGCATCGAGAACTGCCGTCGTCCGGGTCCAGAAACCTTCCGGGGTGGTTCAGCGTCTTGGGGTTGTGGGTAGGGCCTGAGGGTTTGGGGTTGAGGGGTTTAGGGTGTAGGGTTTAGGGGTTTTCTGTTTAGGGTTTAGGATTTAGGGGTCTAGGGGTTTAGGGTTTAGAGGTTTAGGGGTTTAGGGGTTTAGGGGTTTAGGGGTTTAGGGGTTTAGGGTTTAGGGTTGACTTCTGTGGGCTGTCGTGGAGTGATGAGCGCACTCAGGGCATCAGCGCGGCTTCAGTGAAGGATTTTGTGAGCTTGCGAGTTGCTAGCGTTGTATCTACGTGTAGTTCAAGAGCCCAGGATCAACATAGACCGTCGGGATGCACATCATAGGTCGTCATAAGGATGGAAGGCATACAGCGGCTGGGACCACAAGGATTCCTGAGAGCCTTGTCTTGACACTCCATAAATAAGAAAAAACTCAACCCGAGTCGGTATGCTGTGTTCGCATAGTGTGCGACTTTGCGCTGGTTCTTCCTATATACAGTATACTATATACAGTATACAGTGCTGCTAACGGAGACAGTATATCTTTTTCGTGTAGTGGGAAATAGCATTCTGCACTTGGAGGTTTGATTACGTGATATATATATATATATATATATATTATATATATATATATATACAACATACAAATATACACCCACACCCACACTTACATACACAGCATTGCGATTGTGATTGTGGCTGTTCGTTTCCGTGTATCCCTTGATGGGCAATTCGAACAGGAGTGCTACAATGTGCTGCAGTAGAGACTAAAGTGAAAACACACTGCTTACTGATCTGTGTACATACCGACAAATTAAATTCACCTTGTTGCAGTATATGTTGCGACAATACAAGAACCACATGTGTGTATATGTTTGCAGTTTGCAGGATATTTGTTCATTTCGCTCAGAAGTGGCGGGTGTGTGCTGTGTACTTTAAGTACCGTAGCAGTAATGCATACCATGCTAATGCAAACACATAGTATATTAATATAGAGTATATGTACAGGCATCTGCGTGCATCTATGCATGGCATGTGGCATGTGTGAACTTGGAAATGCATGCATTTGCTTGTGTATTCACATGAACACCCTGACTATGCTTACACTACAATGCTACACCCTACACCCTGAACCCCAAACCCCTAAACCCTAAACCGTGGCTCTGAAACCCAAATCCCCACGCAGTCAAGAGGCCGTCGTCCCATAGCGACGCCCTGGACTCCTTGGCCACCACCTGCTGGCTGGAAACCTGGAAGTTGCTGAACACCCGGGTTTAGGGTTAAATAAATGGAGCTGTGGTTCTTACTGGGAAATTCATGTAGGGTCCTTATAAATTACAGTAGGGTTTTGGGCACTGGGCTTTGGCTATGCGAGTCGGGTGATTCCGTCTGCCAGGTGGGGGTGTTCCGGTGTAAGACTGGGATAGTGCACACTTACGAGGAACTTCGACCGTTTTGCAGGATGCCTTTCTCTGGGGTGCTGCGAACTCCAACTAGAGCCCCGATTACGACTTCGGCGGGGCTGCGAAGGCGGGATGACGCTTGACCCATGGCTGCACAACCCGGTCACAATCCCGCCATCCATCCCTCCGTCCATCAAGCCATCCATCCATCCATCCGTCCATCCATCCATATACCATATTTTCATTAGGTAGCATCGAATAAATAAATGCAAAGATAACTATATATATATATAGATACACAGATACATTCACATGTGTGTTTACGCTTTTTTTGTACGTGTGTATGTATGTACGTACGTATGTGTGCATGTGTGTGCGTATGTATGTGTATGTATGTATGTCAGTCTGTACGTGTGTATGAGAAAGATAGTACGTGTATATTTATATATGGCAGAGGCGCTAGAGGGGAAGCGGATATGTGATGCATCGGGGGAGAGGGGGTGGGGATTCGGGGTTTACTGTTTCCGGGCTAGGGGGCCAGCATCCAGTCCAGGGTTTAGGGTTAGATAGCTGGGTTGTAGTTTAGGGGCACCGGAAACTGTTTCATGAACAGGTGTCGGGCTAACACCATACACGGAAGATATTGCTACGAAGTCAAAACTAGCCATGATAGCAGCAACGATAGCATCACCTACGACGGCAGACATGTTGACACCCAGCGGATCGTAATGAGAGAAGCAGGAGTTTCATGTTTTAGAGCGGCTCGTGCTGTTACATATGCTCTCTCACCCAGCCTTGCCGCTTTCTCCAGTTCCGAATTGCCGGACTAGGCTCCGAACTTCTGTAGACGAGGTAGGACTGCAGTCGTGTCGAGTGTGGCTCCATGCTCATTCAGAGAGTGTCCGCGAGTACTACCTACCAGAATAAGTTATTAAGACATTTCGACAATAAGAACAAGAACTGGCATGCTTACTCCTGGAAGCACGAGGAGCTCTGAACCCTCACTCCTGATGCTTGACGGGCACCCAAGATGTCGTCAACCAACCCATCTACAGCTACAACCGGAACCGGCAGAAGGGATCTTCTCAACCGAGATCACACACTACCACGCACAGTGACTTAAGAATGTAAATCCCAAAGGCTCCATGTACCTTCATAGTAGATACTTAGGCCTTAAAGGGGTCCCTATATAGGTACTTTAAGGCCTAAGTATCTACTATATGGGGGTTTCCGAAAATAGGGGACCCTAATATAGTACCCTAAATAATAGGATCCCTATTATAAGGACCCCACAATAGGGTACCATAATTTTCGGAAACTCCTATATGGGAACATGAAGCCTTAGGGAATGTTAGAGCCAAGCTCGGAATCAGAACTCTTCTTGCAGCCACAAGGCTCCAGCCCCACCTGCTTCTGGCTTAGGGTTCAGGAGTTTGGGTTTAGGGTTTAGGGTTTAGGGTTTAGGGTTTAGGGTTTAGGGCTAAGGGTTCAGGAGTTTGGGGTTCGGGGTGAAAAGGCCTAGGACTTGTCAGGTCTGGGTTAAATGTGTCTTGCGACCCTGAACCAGCTACACCATCTATCTCCGTAGCTCTCCTGACCAATGCTCTTCAACGGGATCGCAACAGCCTCATACTTGGAGGATCATGGGATAAAAGGTTATAAGTTATAGCTACCTTAATTGGGGTTGATAATTACTTATAAGTATAGTTACCTTATTTATAACCCTAGTTACTAAGTCCGATGATCCTCCCTGTTCCGCAACCTGGCCACTGTGTTACTATACGTATGACGTTAGGGTTTAGGGTTCGGTTTAGGGTGCCCAAATTCAACCAAGCACCCAGCGGTAAAGGTACGACGGATGGAGGGGCTGAAGGATTTAGGGTTTAGGGTTGCGCACTTTGGGGTCTTGGGCTTTAGGGTTCAGGGCGTGCTGCAGAATTTAGGGTTTAGGAGTTGAGGGTTCAACGGCCTGGCAAACCCTACCACTGGCGCGGTAGCAACTACATGTGAAGAGCATTTGTGGATCTGGCCTCAACAACCAAAACCTACACCCACGTTTCACCCTACATGGGTCTACGCTGATTAGAGAACTCCCCCTCCACCCCTAAATAACCCCCTTTTGGAACCTATCAAACACAAACTTAAAAGCCTTGCTTATGCAAAGTCCCGGTGCCCGCCTTCCGTGCAAAAGATCAGGACGGCCCACGCTGAGAAGCATCTGAGATCGAGGCAGGGATCGACGTTATGAAATTGGGGCCTGGGAGTTATTAGTGTCCACGATAGCTTTGGGCCTAATGAATCTGCAATTATGGGGCTTTCTCATTTTCGTGGGTTTTTGGATTTTAGGATTTGACAGTTTAAGCTTTTGGGATATACGTCAAGAGCTTTAGGCTTTTATGGTACAGGGTAAAGCACCATGTGGCACCAGGGTAGATCTTGACCACAGTGTTTATGCAGGGTTTTGGGCTTCGGGCTCTTGCTTTGAGGTGTTGGGATTACACTTCAGGGTTTAGAGTTTAGAGCTTAAGGCTTAGGAGTTTAGGACTTAGGGTAAAGTGGTGTCGAAAGAAGCCCAAGAAATACTCGAGGTTTTGCAGCTGTTGTGAAGTTTGCCAACAAGCTTCGAAAGCCACGACGTGGCCAACTCCTCTTGTTTTGTGAACTCCGGCAAGTCGGGGTTTGGGGCATGTTACCATGGAGTCTTGCTGGGACCATGATGGGGCACACTATTGACAATTTTGTTTCGGCTGCTGCATGCTTGATTACCCTCGGGCCCCAATTGCCTTGGTGGTATAAGGCCTGTTGACCCCAAACCCCCACGCTGATCCGGAGTCCACGTGCTAATTACGTGTGTTTCCGCTCCTCAAGCCCTTAACCCCACACCCTTCACCCTAAACCCTAAACCATCTAATGTAGAAGCCTTAATAACTAGAATAGGGTTTTGGGCTCCTCTAAAGTATTATGATAATAAGGAGCCCCACCAGCAGTAGTGGTATATATATATATATATACATATATATATATATATATATTATAGAACCCGCAAGGCCTTAGGTCGCGGTGAACGGGCTAGTGTCTGACATTCAGGCTTGTCTCCAATGCCAAACGTCCCAAAATTGTCAGCTTTTTGTGCTGAGGGTCCCAATTTCGGGCTTCTCCTAAGGGTCCATGTACCCAAATAGTATATACTTTGGCCCCAAAGCACCTATATAGGGACTACTTTAAGGCCGAAGTACATACTATTGGCACACATGGACCCTTAGGGTTCGTGTTCCCAACTTAGGGCTCAGGGTTGCCATTTCGGATTTCCGGTTTTGGGCTCCAAATGTCCAAAGCTTCGCATAAACAGCACTTGTTGTACTTAGCCTTTGCCGAAACATGCTTCGTCAAACCCTCAGATCCCCGAACAAACTCTCAGATCCCTAAACCCTAAACCCTAAACCCAATCCCCGAACTCCGATCAAGGGTTGCGGGTTTAGGGTTTAGCGTTGGGAAAAATGACAGATGCTCAGAGATGGCTTGTCGTTCCGTTGACACCTTTGCTATTTCTGAAACCCCTAACCCTAAACTCTCCCATGACTCATCCCTACTATAGGACGCTGTAGAAGTGGCTTCACAACAGTGCGGTATTGGGACAACGGATCATACATGCTCAGAAGCGACTCAACTGCTTATTCTTTGGTCTGGGCCGTTTGTTAGGCCGAGGGAGTTCTCAAACAGCAGTTTTTTGGTTTTGGGGTTTCGGGTTTGGTTTTTTAGCGCTGGGGTTTAGGGTAATCTTGTGGTTTGTGTGGAAAAGGAGCTGACTGTAAACAAACACGACCGCCATTGCAGCACTTCTCGTTATCTCGAACGGGGATAGATGCCATAGTGCTTGACTGCCTCTACCCGATTCTACTCTCTTCGTCCATGTATCTTTCTGCCCACCTGTAGACAATCCTCCCGCTCGAGTTGAACCAGTCCTCTGCCACTGAAACCAAACTTTACCGTTTCATAGGTTCACGGTGGCGTAAACCAACAAAGTTCAGAGGATTGGGGGTTCAGGTTTCAAGGATCGCATTCTGGGTTTGGCTGAGTTGGGTAAGGTTGATGTTTGAGGCCAGAGCCTCACGAAGGGTTTCATTATCTTGGGCGCTGGGGTAGCAAGAGACGTTGCTTTCGGGGTGTGCCTTAGATGAGATGAAAAACATCAGGTTGTTCAGCGTGAAAGCCACAGTTGATAGACTGCAGAGTGGATCATGGACAGTCACAGCCTGTCTTCATCTCGGAAGTGAGGCGATTATTCCAAAATCTGACACTGGCACACATCCCAAAACCGTCAGCATATCATCCTTACTTACGATTATAAACACTAACTCTAACTAAGACAGTACAGCTGTCAAAAATGAGACATCGTTGTGATACCAACAACCCGAGGCAATAACAGTCAGAAAAAGTTTGTTGAGTGCACGGCTCCCTTCTGCCCACACCCCTTAGCATTGGGGCATTAAGCCTACACGAGTACAACCGAAGCACTGAAACCCTGAAGCCCGAAACCAACAACTCGAACTATAACCCCTCAAGCCCTGCAAACCCTAAACTCTAAACCCTTTAAGCCCTACAAGGCCAGAACCTAAACCCCTACACCCTGAACCCTAAACAACTGAGACGTGAATTCAAGACGTGGGTAGCTCTCTAAATCAGGGTCCGTTTTAGGGTTCCTGAAAGGATCTACAATGACAAGACGAAACAAGCATGAACAGCAAAACCTGATTTCGGGACGGTCCTTGACGACGAGTCGTCGTCGCATCTGACCGTGGTGACGGCTGCACGCCCGCCAGATATGGAACGTCATCGCCACAGTGCTCCTGGCAGGGTCCTACAGGACCGTTAGCTTTGGCAGTTTTCTGTGCAAAGTAACCTACCCCTAAACTCAAAACCGGTCTATGCAGTTGGACGCTCGCTTTAATTTAGGTCGGAACACTTCCCCAGACTTGGGTATCATACTAAGGCACGGCATTGCTGCCAACTTCGGAAATCTCGAATTGTGTCCACATCTTCATGGGAGGGTATCTCCAGTGGTCCTTGTAGTGTTGTTGCACGAGCACATGTGTCACAACCACAGGCCGCCGCATAAAGACATCTATGTTTATCTGTACCGACCTATGTGTCTGCAAGTACACACATACCTACATGCACATCACCTCTTTCCATCCATATCTCTGTTTCCGTCTACATCTGCCCATATACTTCCGTCTGTGTCTGCACATACATACGTTCATACATACCTGGCTGCATGCATACGTACGTACATACATCCCCACACACACACAGATACATACATACGCGTGCACGTACATGCATACCAGACAAGTGTGGCATCTTTGTACTTCGTAAACAGGCTTCTCTAACATCGACCCACCATAGGAGCTACAACTATCGCCATTCTAATCAACTTAGGGTCAAGGTTTGGGGTTAGAACCGTAGAGTTTAATTAGAGTGATTTCAGTCCTCCTGCAAGCGGAAGTGAAGGAGGAGACATACAGCAGATCTCGGGGAGTGGGCCTCGCGGCCACCATGCCTAGGCGCTGCTTGGATTGGGGTCGCGGCGTCAAACTAGTAGAGTAAGCAACTAGAAAGGTTTTTTCTCTCGGGTGGGTGTGTGCAAGCAGTTTTGCGGTACACCTTGCTACTGTTACATGGGTTGACCGGCCGACTGTATAGCAGTCCGTGCGCATGCAAAAGTTTTACAATTAATTTTGTCACTACTTTTGCTATTTCTGATACTTTGGGTCAGTGGTATGATTGTCATGGCACCCTAAACCCAAGGGAACCCTGAACCCTAAACCCTACGCCCAAAACCTAAGGGAACCTTAAACCCGAAGCCCTACACCCTAAAAGGCCATGAAGCTTCTGCTGGAAACCGAGGCACCGTTCCGGGCAGACCTTTGCTGAAGAAAACCCTTCAAAGCCTTCACCCAGAGACCCCAATACCCCTTAATTAAGGAATATGGTTTAGGGTTTAGGGTTTAGGGTTTAGGGTTTAGGGTCATAATATTAAAAAGACCCTATAATTTAAGGCATATTCTTTAATTAAGGTGAATTGGGTTCTCTGGGCACCGCTGAACATCGCTGAACGTTAAATCGTATCAGCGGGCCCCCGTGGCCCTAAGTAGTATCGCGGCAAATATCAGCTTCAAACAACAACAGCTCAACTGTGGCCTACAGGACCATGATGCTTTAGACCCGGGCTGTTCGCCAAATTGCAAAATGGCATGCTTGGAAGATCGTGGGACTTGTAGGTACAGCTCAACTGCGGTTATTACTAGCCATACGTCTAGTAAGCTTCTCTAAACTCAGTTACTACATGTTACTAAGCCCAATGAATCTCCAAGTACCCAGGTACAGTTGGGGCAGATAGGGCTTCTGATGCCCAGCACCCCGGAGTTCAGAGCACTTGCTCGAACCGTCCGATCTCTGTCTCTTTCTCCAAACCCGAAACCCGTCTCTCTCTGCGTGTACTATGCACACTTGACAGGGCCCGAGGCTAGGGTTTGGGGCTTATTTAGGCCCTAACCAGGAGCTACGGTATAGGGCTTACTTTCACCCCAAGTGACCTACCTTTTTAAGGCTTCATATAAACGGAATCATAAGGAACCCTAAATCCGCGAAGATAGACACTGGGCGTCACAACAGCTGATTTGCTGATTTGGTTCAGGCCAGAAAAAAGAGAAGACAAGACAAACACGGACTTCAAGGACGAAGGAATCCCAAGAAGGTGTATAGGGCATTCGGGTGGCTTTTGGTCGAAACTTCTGCTCCAAACGCAGGGCATGGCTAATTAAGAAACCACAAACAGCCTGAGGGAAGCGAAGCTGCCTACGTGCACAAATGCCTGCAGCATTACCGCCGGTCAAACGTCTTAGATGTGATATGTTAGAAAGTCCCACTACTGAAACACCGGCGGCTGACAACACTCTGACCGAATGATCTCTGAATCGTCGCATCAGGAGGCTCAACCGTATCTTCGGTTCTAAAAGGCCCTGTGCTAAGAGGCCCTTTGCAACGCCGGACTAAGAAACAAAGTCGCAAAGCAACTCCTGCCACATGACTTTGCAGCGCACTAGAACCCTATAAAGCTTACTGAAGCAAACATCTAAGCCAAAATATTCATATCTTGGGGCTTAGGGTTTCCTAAGCCCTAGACCCTTTAGGGCTTAGGGTTTCCTAAGCCCTGGAGACCCTTTAGGTCAAAGTGCCGAAGGGAGGAGGTTCATTCTTCGGCGTCAGCCAACTGCCATTCCGGGCTGCCATGTCTTCCTACAAATTTGGGCGTAGGGGTTTAGGATTTAGGGTTTGGAAGCTTAGAATTCAAAGGGGTTCGGTTTAGGGTTGAAGGCTTCCTTACTTTTCGGAGTGTCCGTGTGTCTGCCGCTTTTGGTGCAAAGTTTGGGCTGTCGAGGATACTGTTGTCCCCGCACCCAGCACACAGAACGTACGCTTTTCGCAAGACCTCCTTGTTGAGCTTAACTCCTGTGAGGCGTGCAGTTGCTCGAACACTTGTGGCTTGAAGGTAGTGCAATGAAGCAATGTTGGCATCACGCTCCTGGTGCTGGTACAGTAACCATGACATGTCTCAGCAACCTCAGTTCACGTGTGCTTTCGGAACCCCTTAACACCCAAAGGGTTCTAGGTACTGTTATGGGGAATGCTTCGCCAAATCAAAAAAGTGATTCCTAATATAGAAGCCCTACGTTCTACCATATAGGTACTTAGGACCCTTTGGGACAGGCTACATGCCCCAAAACTGTGTGCAAGGCAGGTAGACTGCCCTTCGAAGTACTTTGTTCTACGGGTCAATGAGACCTCCGTGCAAATCCTTGTTATGGCGCGGCTACCGTTGTTCCTGCAAAACATCCTGACTGAAAAAGCAGCAGAAATCTTGGTGGCCCCAAAAGACATACGAGTGCCAAGTTTGGGCTCCGTAGACAGGGAAACCACTTAAAGTAAAACCTGATCGCTAAGTTTCTGACAATTAAACCCAATAAAACCCCGAAGCACAATCGAAAGGCTCAAGCACTAAAGCCCGAAAGGGTCAAGATGCCTGCAAGAGCTCGTGGCGCAGGCGTTCATTACGGTAGCCGCCCATGTGTTCCGGCTCTGAAAGTTTGTCAAGCCTTGAGTCCAAGACACCCTGGACTTTATACTATATATATATATAATATACATCCCCCAAACCCCAGACTCAACCCTGAAATCTTCGACCGTAGACCCTGAAGCCCTAAACCCCCCGAAATCACTGAATCCGAAAACCCTGAATCACTAAAGCCGGAGAATTGGTTTTTGCCGTCAATGCGTGAAACTGTCTGCCTCCGAGCAGTTCCCGGAGCCGGCTTGGCCAAGCAGGGCTTCTACTGCAGGGGCCTTCATATTTGGAAGAGGGCATGGGTATAGTGTAGCATACGCACAACAAGTGAAAACCACCACTAGCATTCATTGATGCAAACAAACTTCAATATACCGCAGAGCGCTATTCGAATTAGTACGGCCCCTGTATCACTTCTGCTTCGCACATCTCAAACCTTGCAAAGCTGGCGGACGGCACTCAGTCGATATCTCGCACTCGCTAAGACCGCTAAGACCCTAAACCCCAAACCGGAACCTTGTGTTTTTATGGTTCAGGGCTTTTGGGATCTTTAGCCTGAAAAAACAAGCACCCAACGCCCTGCTTCAGGTGAAGCTTTTAGGGCTGCAGGTTCCGAGTTTCGAGTTTCAGGTTTGAGCTTGGCGTTCGGACATGCAGGCGTCAGGGGTCTGCCCTCGAAGTCATCGATTTCATCAGCAGCAGCAAAAAGGACGTACCAACAGCGACGGCAACACCACCACCATTGTATTCATGGTCATCACCGTTACCACAGTAACAATCGCCGACATCATCTCCACCACGAGCACCAACGTTCGTCACATGTCAGATAGTCACAAGTTGCACACCTTCAGAGATAAGCAAATCATTCAGGGTCGGACTGGCTTTCGAGCAGGGGGATTGGTACATCGACGTAGGACTTCTGCAAAGGGATAAAGTGCTGTCGGACTGCGGTGCAAAAGACTTGTTCAAGCACCTGGAGCAGGGCCTTGCGAACAAGTATGCAATGAAGGGACTAAGCATCGAGGCTCCCCAATTGCGGTGACACCCGTATCCTTGGTGCCGAGGATAACTCGAATCTTATACGACTCGGTCCTTGCTGCCAACCGTCTTAAACTCGTGGCCATTCTGGGTTTAGGGTGTATCCCTGAGAGTTTAGAGGTGAAGATGACCCCGAACCAAAATCCCACATGACATGGATGCACTTCTGCCCGCCACCTGGCCAACTACAACTGAGGGTGTCTAGTGTCAGGTTCTTTGCAACGGAGAAGCCTGTCTATGATTTCTTGTCCGCTGCGACGACTATTTTGTCAGAAACAAACCCTGTTGAACAAATGCAGGGTTCAGCGCCTTGAGAACCATGACACTCAGTCCACAGCCCCGAAAACCCCAAACCCTAAACCCTCAGCCCTCTACACCCCCCCTTGCCTCCAGTGCCTCAGATGGAGATCGTCTGAGTTCTGTCGGAGCTTCCGGTCTCTGGCCTAGCAAGAAACACAAGGAATTTAGTGGCCTTAACAATAGAATAGCGTTTCGGGGTACGCTGCAATGAGCCCTAAGAAACGATTCGTAGTCATTCAAGCTTCTTCCAGGGTGCGAGAGGGCGATGCATTCCTTGAGATCGCTTTTGCGGCTCAAATAATGCGGGTTCCATTCTTGTGAACGCCCAGGTCAGCCCCGAACTGAATCCTGCCAAAGCTCCCAAAGCCTGGCTTGGGCCATTACTTCGCCGGCCACGGCTCGTTATGATTCTGCTTTCCCAATGGTGGAGCTCTCTAAACCCTAAATAAACCTTTTTCTTTAGAAGAACTTAGGGTTAGAGCCTGCGAGTAAAAGAAAGAACACAGCAAGACCCCTAAGCCAGAAGCCTCATTGTCCTGGATGGTGGGTTTGCGCCGGAGGGATGGGAACCATCCTGCCACAAGCACATATTGCATGCATGTATGTGTATGCAGGAATGCTTGCCAGTATGTACATACCAGTGTCTTGTGTGTATATAGATACACATATGTATAAAACATAAAGTTAGTATACTTATATATATATATATATGCCAGACCCCCTATTGACCAACCATCGCTGCTCATTGCTTGCGAATGTTCTCTCACATGGAGTCTGCGCAATACATTCCCCTGGAAAATAACCTGCATGGCGCACTACCTTCACAGTGGCCTGTACAACAGGTATTTCTCTTCTTCTAAGAGCTCTTCCCCTCTCAATGTGACCTTGTAGACCAAGCCACGGTAGCATTCGACTCTATCACCTCAGGATGCTTGCCATACGATAGCCGAGCGGTGCCAAAGGAGAGAAATGATCAGTTAGACAAAGTTTTGCAAAGACAAAAACTGTTGGACATATCGTAGCAGCCGTTTCGTGGCATGTAGCCGATCAGCACTGGGTGAACCACTGGCGCGGTCGGACAGCGGGTGTCATTCGGCGAGCGTCACACCAAGAACGAGATGATCCGCGAGCTGATTTCCGGCGAGAGTTTCAACCCGACATTGCGAGCGTACTACTGGTAAGGAGGAAAGTGCAATGTTCACAGCAGCCTACAAAACGAGGCAACATGAATAACTTGCGTGTGAGGGTACATACAGCATGCTGTCGCATTCTCTTGTGCATTGCCTCTCACAACATCTCTCTTGTGCCTTTTCTCGAACTCTTATATGTGCATCAGAGCATCTAGTGAGTATACTTGCAGCATCAATAACATGATAAATTGTTTCCTGCGACGCGAGCACCCGCGGATGAGAAAACATGACATTGCATTGCGACGTTGTTGCCGCTTTCGCTGCGACAGAAGAGCTTGGATCATCTCTGCTGTCTTCGTCCACAGATTCTCATGGTGGTACCAGTAAAGCCACCGTGCAGAACGGATCTTACGGGTGAGAATGGGATTTCCAGGCTTACGCGGGGCATGCCGGAGATACTGCCTCAGCTGGCGCCAACATCTGCGGATGACTTTCGTGCCGGATTTCACCTTCAACTTATTACCATCGCGTAATGTGACATGATGAACCTTCGTGTAATGGGGCTTCTCGCAGACCACCTGCCACATGACACGACATGTATCAGCTTCGTGTATAGGAACCAGATCTAACCTGACCCCTCTACAGGATTTGCCACGGAAGATCTGCTTTTTCTTCTGGTGAACGACATGGCAGTGGATGACCTCGTCAAGTAAGTTCATCTTGTAGGCACGGGTTCCATCCGTATAACGAAGGATCACGTTCTTGCCTGCCAGGAGCTTCGTGGCGATGGGACGCGGTCACGCTTGCGGATATATAGGGCCTATAGGCCTGGAGCACGTGCCTTGGTGCTCTTGGGGTTCAGGCGAAAGCCTCAGCAGAAGCTTCGCCATCTTGACCGAAGAGGGCTTCGCGAACTTGTTTGCGTTGCTGACAGTCCTGTCTGCAGGCGTCGCTTAGTGATGCATGTAACAGCGTAACCCACTCTTGCTCACGGCATACTTCATCATCGAAGTCTGCGTGCAGTTCTCGGACGCCGTCAAGGTACTTCCCATAGAGATCCCGACCTGGTACCTCTGCACAGGATTCTTGTTGATGCTGGCGGGGCAGTAGTAAACGTGATGCTTTGAGTTGAGCCAGATAGCGGCTCGTCTGAAGATTTCGTATTTGTGGGTCTTTGCTGCAGCCGGGGTGCATGCACATAGGTTTGTTTTTCAGAATAAATTCCTGGAAGGAGATGGAGGGTGCGAAATCAAAGTCCGTGGGAAGCTTTCCCTCCTCATGCACATTGTCCGCCGCGGCTCTGGGTTAATTCTGAACCCATTTGGTTGCGCCCCAACGCGCCCATACCATGCTCTCATACAACCCCACGTCGAGAAAGTACATGAGAGTCTTGGGGCTCAAGTTGCTCATTGTTGAACGTGTCATCTAGGAAATCTCCCATGATCACAGACCCTGGCTCCCCTCTCGAGAAGCCTATCTCTGCAGTGTTCAGGAGCCCGCCGCGGTAGTACTTCTCCGTCAGAGGAATCGGCCAGTCTAGCTCCTTCCTCGACAAAGCCCCGTCTGTGGCGAGATTCCGCAGGGCCGTGTCCACCAAGGATTGAGGCCAGCGGCAAATGCGGGATTTAAGATTTTCCGGAGCCTTTTTCATCCACGGCAACTGCGCCATCTTCGATGTAGACCGAGGACCGTAGTTCTGAATGTAGTCTTATCCGCGGTCTATCTCCTCGTCGTCATTATGATCGAACTTGCCCATTAGAAATGCTATAAGAAACCGAGTCTTTTGGTTTCATTTGGCGTCCTCCCAGGTTCTCCAAGACATACTGGTTAATCTTTTCTGTGGATCTCCATCAGTACACCTGAGACAATCCGTATGCACCGTTCTGGAAGACCACAGGCTTGCACTTGCTGTTGCAAATGAAGTGCTTCACGATGTAATGAACACCGGGGCGAATGGGGACAATGAGCAGCTGCACCTTGTGTCGCGGGGTAGCTCAGTTTTGAAGTCGAAGGGCGGAGGAAGAAGGTTCATGTTGCTTTGCTTGTTGGCATCAACACCAGCATGTTCGAGTGCACCAAAGTGTATGTCTTCTGTATAATGCATATTCTGAGATGATGTCAAAAAGGTTCACCGTGGGGGTTGTCGCCACTGCTGACGTCCTGCCAGGGCAAGGTGACAGGCAGGCGACAAGATTCCGATTGGAAGGTTGAGCATGGCAGGCTGCGGTAGATTGCAGACCAATGGGAGCACGGCAGTCTTCAAGTTATCCAACGTGAGATCTTTGGCGGACATTGCGAGAGGCCGATGGTTCGCGAGGTACGAGGAAAGTCAACAAGGACTAATTAAGTCACCGAGCTAATTTGGAGCCGTGCAAGAACAGAGGTAACAGAGATAGATGTTGACAGAGGCCATATGTGCAGAAGTGTGTGCGGTGCAAGCGCAGATCTCAGGGGCAAGCATCACGAGCAGCGTCAGATTCATCCCAGTTGACGCTGTCATCACTTGATTGCTTTCTATCTCTCAGGAGCAGATCAACCTTCGATACTGCGAGCAGTGGCTTGGAAGCAAATTAGAGTGCAATATACGGTTACCGCATAGGTTTGGGACCTAGGTCCCAAACCAAAAACAACATAAAAAATAAAAAAAAAAACATTTCAGAGACTGTGTTGTGAACAAAACCAAACAAAAAAAGGGCAAACAAACATAACAAAAGCATTAAACACCAAAAGCATCAAACACATAATTTCAGCGACAATGTAATTCTAACAGTCGGGTTCCCATTCTCTCCACACATTCACATACTCATGCAGCATCGTTCTTTGAGGCACCCTTCGTGGAGTAAGTTAAGAAGAGGTTTGTTGTGTCTCGAAGGCTCTTGTTGCAGCCACTGG